TAATCCAAATCCCTTTCAGCAAAACACAAAATAATCCAATGACAACAGAGAAATCCAATTAATTAAAGCAAACCAAAGACATGGCAATATTCAAAAACTCTTATGGAATGACAACCAAAAGAGAGACCGGCAACGGCAAGGGGGTCTTCAAGAGGCCGAGAGATGCGATGGGCGGCGGGACAGGCGGCTGCGGTGGCACCGTGGCAGGAAGCAAAATTCACTTTGTTGCAGTGTAGTTTACAAGAAAAAAACGAACGATAGGTTGGGCTGGGGCAGGCATGAGACGACTACAGTTGCAGAATTTGGCGGATGGAGTAGAGGAAACGGCGGGATACTTCAGGGGAAGAAGCGACTGTTGTTTGTGTGGAACAGGGTTCTTATAATCTGACGTGAATTGCCTGAAATTGCAGGAAGGGGTACGTGGCAGTGGCTTCAAAATGAAAGCGCCCTTTAATAATTTTATAGATAGATAGATAGATAGATAGATATAGATTTTGCGTCAATTGTATATTTTTTTAATTTTAGTTTATGACTTCTAATTTCATATCATTGGCATCAAAGTTATGGCGGGTGAATTCATATCTCTATTCTCTTAATGTATACCATTATTAGAAAAATGCACACTAGGTTCCAATAAAGGCACCGCAATTTCCAACAAATACACACCAGTAATCATCCTATGTATACTAATATTGCTTGAATGCATTATTAGTAACTACCAAATGCATATAAGTTTCTCGCAAATGCATACTAGTAAGGACGTAATGCATACTGGTACATATCAAAAGCATGCCAATATTATGAAACCAAAGTAGTATAAGATATTTGCTAACAACTCTACTACGGGAAGGTTCTCGTTAATTCTGGTATATGAAAGACTATCGTTGTTTTGCTATCATTGTGATAGACTTGGGAGTATGGAGAGAATTTTTCATTAAGATTCAATAGGCGAGTAAAAATACGCTATGGAGCTCACAACTGAAATTTCACAACATCGTCTCGCTGAGGTGACACTCTTGCCACTACATTTGTTGTTGCGATTACATAAAAATGTTTGCTTAAATCTTGATACGTATGGTAATGGTGGTGGTGAGGAAGTATGAGAAGTGGATGGTGAGGGAGGAAGAAGATCCTACCAACTAGTGCCCGATTGTGCTAGGGATGTCGACGCATAATGGAAGGCAGGTTCATGTGCAAAAAGAGGAGTCAGGTCCACAATAGAGGTGGGAGGCCTAACATGCAGGAGTGGCCGACTGCTGAAGGTGTTGGAAGGCAAGCAAATACTCTTTCAAATGTGGATTGCTTGTGTTACATAGGCTAGTCGTGGTTCAACCTCTATGTGTAGTAGTCGAGGGCATGGTGCTTCATAGGGAGGAATGGAGAGTGGTGATGCAAGTTTGTAGCGTCCTACCCAGTAACCAAATCCTGCTCATGCCTGTGATTCAATGTGGAATAAAGGCTAGATGGGTGGCTCTCAATGTCGATATGCTACGAAAATAAGGGAAATACAATAATGGTGGACAAACCCTATGGAGGAACAACCTTGTCACATGAATATTGGTGTTGTGATTCAAGAGCTAGGTGAGAGGGATGCTGAGGCTCGTGATGGAGAAATCCAGAGGATGAAAGCATATCAGGTTGGACGAACGAAGCTGACTTTTAGGCTCAAAGTTACCAATGAGAATGATGTTGATGATTGTAAGCGATCGATAAAGAACGTGGAGGATATTTCCAAGGATTCAATACCAATTAAAAGAGCTTGCTAGAAAAGTGGTACTGAAGAGATTCAAGAACCGGTGGAGGAAGCCAACCATGAGTGGCCCCAATCGTCCAAATGAGGATTTTGGCTTGGAATGTGAGAGTTATGAGACCTTCTCTCACATTTAAGTCTTTGTTAGGTCTTTGTCATTCAATTAATCTGGGTTTGGTGTACCTTTCGAAGATTGGATCACATTGAAAGTTGCGTCATGTTGTTTGTAAGTTTTAGTCAACCATTATGAGTGCGAATGATCATTCTCTCTTCACTCCTCAAACTACTCATGACCTAGTGGTTCTGTTACTATACGTTGATGATATGATTGTCTCTCGTGACGATTCCGAAGGCATTACAACACTCATGTAGGGTCTTCATAAGTCATTCAATCTCAAGGATCTTGGTTCTCTTTCTTACTATCTGGAGCTTGAGGTGTCTAAATCTAGATCTGGTATTCTTCTTAGCCAGCAAAAATATATTGACGACCTCTTGGATGCCACTAGGCATAGTGATTGCATTCCCGTGGCTACTCATATTGAACTCAATGTGAAGCTGAGGAGGGACTCCGATGATTTGTTACTGGACGGTCGGAGCAATATTGTAGTATCGTTGGGAGCCTCATCTACCTTGCCTCTACTCGACCTGATATCGCATAAGAAGTGCAGATTGTGAGTCAGTTCATGTCCTCTCCGCGTACTGATCACCTCACAGCCGTACATAGGATTCTTCAATCTTTACAGGGGACACATGATGTTGGTCTGTACTTACCATCCGATGGCGCTCTTGTACTCCTGGCCTTCTCAGATTCTGATTATGCAGGATGTGTTGATACACGTCGATCAACGACTGGATGGTTCATTCGACTGGGTTCTTCTGTTATATCTTGGCGGTGCAAGAAACAAGATCGGGTCTCTAAATCATCCACAGATGCAAAGTTCTAGCTATGTCGGATGTCACTTTGGAGCTTGAGTGGCTCCATCGTCTACTAGGGGATCTTGGTGTCACGTGTGCCACTCCAATGAAGCTATATGTTGATAATACGAGTGCCATACGCAATGATACTAATCTTGTTCTCCACTATCGCCTAAAGCACATCGAGGTACATGTTCACTATAGACATGATCTTGTTCATGATGGTACTATTCCATCTACTACATTATTTCTGAAGATAAGATTGCAGACCTCTTTACCAAGGGATTCACTGTTACTCGACATTCCTTCTTGGCTAGCAAATTGATGATGAAAACCCCCATCAATTTGGGAGAGGGTGTTGAGTATTATATTTCTCGGCCTTAAGGCCTTGTATTATAGGGCTCGACCCATTTAATATAATGTCTCGACTAGGGTTAATTAGGAGACAACCTATATTTAAACGAGTGTGCTACGTTGAGAACTGAGGGAAATAAGAAAGATACGCCCCTCCCGCAGACTAGTCTTGTTCGATCACAATCGAACAAGGAAACCACGTAAATCTTGTCTCGTCCCGATACTTGTTCTATTTTGATTATTTCTACGTTACTATTAACAATCAACAAACAAAACATCGACAACAACACTAATATGCTCAATTGAATGGCCTGAAAGTTGAGCAAGCTTAATTTAATTGGAGCGTAGCGAAGTCCGCAGTCATCTGCTTGCAGTAATGGCGGTGCGTCGCCACTAAAGAAGGTTGAATCATCATTGGGAATTGGAGGCTAAACTCGACACAACACATGGTGGAGGGAGAAAGGATGTCGTTGACGTTGTCGGGTAAGATAGTCTGACTTAAACGGGGATGACAGAGTCCCAAGAACAGCTGACGGAGCTGAAGAAAGAATGCGAGGGGGCTGCCACTCTGGAGATCACGCTCCGAAAAATTTAATACGTGCTCCCATTAATATTAGTTCGGGAATAATAGACAGCTTGTTGGGCGTTTCCAAACTCTAGAGCGGGTGCGACAAGCCTCGAAATGCACATTTAAACAATTTTGATAGTATCAGATGCGCTATTTATAGTTTAATGATATCCGTCCTCAATTCAAAAAATATAGTGACATCTGAAATATTTCTCTCGAAAATTTTGGACACAAAAAATAGGCAAAATATAGCTGTATATCCACAACTATCAGGTTTGTGACAAATATATCCATAACTATCGAAATACACGAAATATCCATTTACGTCCACTCCGTTAACTCCGTCAGTTAACTTGATGACAAGACAGACGGTGGATGCTTAGTTGGCGTGTTTTTGACCCCACTAAATGACGTGGATTAAAAGAGAAAAAAAATTAGGCAAAATACAGTTGTATATCCACAACTATCAGATTTGTGACAAATATATCCACAACTATCGAAATACACGAAATATCCAAAAATCGGAAGGTTGTGAGACAAATCTATCCACTTTCGTCTGAAACTATAACGGCGTGTCAGACGGCGTTAAATTGACTAACGGAATGCTGAATCGATGCCATCTCACCTGCCACATAAGCCAAAAGCAACCAAACTTTACACCGTTATCTGTTAGACCTCGTTGCTGCAGTCTTCTCTGTTGGCGATTTGGTTAGATTCAAGCTTGGTATCACTACGGCTCCTACTGCATGGAAGCCGTCGGAGTAAAAGGGAGGCAATGGTTGGGGATTGTGGTAGGGTTATTTGGGGGTGGAGGCGTCGATCGGAGGAGGATCAGTGGTTATCGGGTGTGTGGTTTTTAGGGTTTTTTGAAAAAAATTCTCTTTTAATCCACGTCATTCAGTGCGGTCAGAAACACGCCAACTAAGCATTCACTGTCTGTCCAGTCATCAAGTTAACTGACGGAGTTAACGGAGTGGACGGAAATGGATATATTTGTCTCAAACCTGATAGTTGTGGATATACAACTGTATTTTGCCTTTATTCAACTAGCTTATTTGGCATCTACCGATCTACGTGTAAAGTTTGGTTGCTTTTTGGCTTATGTGGCAGGTGAGATGGCATCAATTCAACATTCCGTTAGTCGATTTAAAGTCGTTTGACACGTTGTTATAGTTTCAGACGGAAGTTGATAGATTTGTCACACAACCTTCCAATTTTTAAATATTTCGTGTATTTCGATAATTGTGGATATATTTGTGACAAAACTTATAGTTGTGGATATACAACTATATTTTGAAGAAAAAAAAATTCCTTTCACCCAACCCTCCAATTTCTTCATTTAAACTTTTTCCGATTTTCATTTTATAAATAGTTTCCCGGAAAATATAATAGCAACAATCTACAAAGAAATAAGGGAAGAAAAGGGTTAATTACCGCCTGTGGCCGCTCCTCCCTCCCTCCCTCTCCAGCCACCGCGAACGCCGCCGTAGTCCTCCCTGTTCTTTCGGCAATTTATCCAATTTCCTCTTGCTGCTTCCAGATGCCGGTTTAGCTCTCTGTCAAAGAGTTTCCCAAGTCTCGTTTCTTCGGTTTTGTACTTACCGATGGAGGAGTCGAGAGAATTATGCCCTCATATTTTGTAAATGTGCTTCTGGGATTCGAAGCCTTCTCGTCGCGTTTGAGCGGGTAGCTTTCTTCTTGCGACGTCTTCGTCATTCTAGGGTTCGACCATTAACAATCATTAATGCCTGCGTAGATCCCGTTTTTCGGTGTTGATGCTGGGGATGTGAGTCCAAAACCCACCGCCCATAATGTTAAGAAGGCAAACCGGCTTGCTTCTTTCCTCGATCGCTGCTCGCCACAGATTTCCCGTCATGCCGTGTCTCAACCGTGGCGGTGCCGATCCTTTCTGCAGAAACGTCTCTTCTTTGTCGAATCAACCAAGCCTTCCTTCAGTTGAGCTCTCTCGTCGTCGCTTAGCTCTCAGGGACGGTGTTTCTGATAATGTCCTGTCCGGCGGCAATTCGTCTTTGAAATCTGTTTCCAGCCTGGGATTGACATTGAAATGTTGCCATGATCACCGAAAGAAGACTCTGAATGATCAGAGGGCACGTACACTTTCCCCTTTTTATCAGTCGGTGCGACATTCGAAATCTCCAATTGAAGAAATTAACGGCAGGAGCGCTACTAATGCTGGATTGGTTAATGGTCATACCGTGCGCCAAGGAGGGCAGCCTCTTGGATTCAGCAGAATGTCTGCAACGAACAGAGTTGTTGTTGCAGTTGATGTTGACGAGGGTATGATGATTTCTGCAGTAGTTTGCTCTTTGGAAAACTCGACCTGTTCCTTTCCTTTTGTGGCTCAACTTATGTGAATGTTTCTTGGATTTGGTCTTGAGCAGTTCTTGGAAACTTCGTGTCAGCCTTGAACAGATTCATTGCAGATCGTTACTCCATGAATCATTCGGTATCAGAATACCATGTCTACGAATTCTTCAAGGTATTTGCTTTAGGTAGAGGTTTGATTATTTGTGAAAGTATACTTGTGCAGCTTGACCCTTGAGGAATGGAACTAATATAATAACAGTCTTTGATATGGCTTGAATCGTTGAGTTATCATGGGAAGTTGGAAAGTTTCTTAGTTGAACAGATTGGGTGATGAAGGCCTATATTCAAGTTGGAGAATGAAAATTCAGTGTTGTTTGCCTGAAAATCGAAGGGCTGTGGCTGATCACTCTCAGCTTACAAGATGCTCTATCTTGTGCAACATTTTTATGTGTTTTGAAATTGGGGCTAGAACATATATTATGCATTGGTTAGTCGGTCTCTGTATAACTGGGTTATGCTGCCAAAATTAGCTGAGTTATTGTTTCCTCTCCAGGTTCCGGATAAAAGTGATTCATATTATGTTCTCAATGTCTTCCCCTTCAAATGAAACACGTTTTGTTGCTATGAGCAAATGAGTTTGTAATGCAGAATCTGACATCTATGTGCCTTCCTCTATTTACAGATATGGAACTGCTCAAGAGATGAAGGTAAGAAACTGAAGTATGTAGAGGTTTGCTTCAGAAAACATCAATATCTAAGCACCAACGTTGATGCTTTCTAGGCTTGGAAAGTTAACGTCTATTGTTTATCGCAAGTTGGATAGAACAACTGAGGCATATAGCATGTATATATTTTTATCACTATTCCTTCCTACGATAATGATGGCCTTGTAGTTTTGCTGTATAGAGTTCTATTGTTATATCCTACTCATATGGTAATATTCTCTAATATAATCTGAATTGCTATCCTAAAGTCTGAACTGTACTTCTTTAAATACATACAGTGATCTTTATGAGGAGGATTTCCCCCAAATAGCTGAATAAAACTTTCTCATTAGCATTCTTATTTGAAACTTCTAAACATTTTATTTACAAGTTATGCTGACTGTGTTCCTAGTTTCGGTCTGTGAGTTCCTTAATGTTGGATGCTTCCATTATAATATTCGCACTGGACATCAGAGAATAATGTTGGATGATTTCCATTCTGCAATTTGAAAGTGGGTATTTGTTAACCTTAAAACTAGAGAGTTGGTTCATGTTATTACTTGCTTGCTTTTTTGCCAGCTGATATTCGTGTTCATGAATTCTTCAAGACGACTTATTTCAAGAACGGGATCTATCCCCTTCCTGGGGCACAGCAGGTGCTTCATAAGCTGTCAAGCCTCTGTAAATTATCCGTTGTGACGTATGTATTCCTGGCATGCACTTAATTTCTTCTCTCTTACAGCATTAATAATCTAGTAACTACTTCGTTTCGTATTATTATATGAATCCATCCATGAACAGGTCTCGCCAAAACGTCATCAAGGATCACACTGTTGATTGGCTAGATAAGCATTATCCAGGACTGTTTCATGAGATTCACTTTGGGAATCACTTTGCGTTGCAAGGAGAGTCTAAACCCAAGTCGGAAATATGCAGGTATGCATTCCCCTTTTTTTTTATTTCTGAAGGCTGTCTAAAACCTAAGTCAGCTATCATGACAATACTACTTGTGCTGTAGATCTTTAGGTGCAGAACTTCTGATTGATGACAACCCAAGGTATGCAATGGAGTGCGCAGAAGCTGGGATTAGGGTTTTGCTCTTTGATTATGAGAACTCCTATCCTTGGTGCAAGTCAGATTCTGTGGAGCAACATCCCTTAGTCACCAAAGTATATAACTGGGAGCAAGTAGAGAAGCACGTAGTCTCACTGATTGCCGCTCCTTAGTCAGGTCTTCAATCATTATCGAAACGTCATTATACAGATATGGAACAAGAGACCTCACTCATTGCTGAGAGATATAACTATGGTTAACCGGAGTCACTTTTTAGCTTTTCGGGTGAAAAGTTGAGACAGACGTGTGGCTGAAATCGGCAGTCAGATCCGTCTTTTGCTTGAGCAGCATTAGAATTGTGGTGCAAGTGTAAAAAACTTGTATACGGGCAGGTTTAGCGGATTCCTTCCTCCATCGGCACAATGATTATGAATGATAATGCCCTTTTGCCTTCCGGCGTCCTCCGCCTCTGTTAATTTTAGTTTGGTCGTAAAGTCATGTTTGGCATTAAACAAAAACAGCGAGCTCCATTTGATTCTTGTTTACATCTCATCCCAACTCGTTATGCACAACTGGTGTGTTTCATCACCTTTTTTTAGCGTCCGAAACATCTACATCCACACGGTTTTTGTCTTGGGTGCATATCAATGTGACTTTCAGTGAGGTCACTAATTCTTGCATTGCTTGATAGTGACCACTTTTAACTTCGGAATTCTTTTATTTCGCTTCGTAATGCATCTTATCAGTTAAGGTCAAAATCTTACTTATGAATCTGGATCTCTCTTATACTTTGTCGATATGAGATTTGTATAAGGGGTTACAACATTTTATTGAATTTTGAAGTAGATCAAGAGGAAACCTAGTCCAAGAGGAAAGTCAGCCGCAAGCTGGGTCTATCGGTTGCAAGCTCGAAGTAGATCAAGTAAGTCGTAGAGTGTCAGGAGCCGTTACTTGACCCACACAAAACCTAGTCCTAGAGGAAAGTCAACGACCATGGGTGTCGCCGCTGGGCCGCCACTTGGCGTCTAAGCCCAAAGAAGCTTACAGAAGATTTTACTTCATCCCCAAGTCAGATAATCCTTGTTGAGGTGGAGGAAGGACACCTAAACTGACTTGGAATAGGAAAACCCCTAGGATTCCTTCCCTATAGATAAAGAGCTAGGCTTTAGTTTTATGTATACTGCAAAAATTCACATTATCCTTCTATAAACACTATGTTCGAGTGAGAACTTAGAATCCTTAGGATAGGCGCAGTCAAGGAGATGTCGTTATCACCGATGATTGTATCCTCCTTCTCTTTTATGTATATCTAGGTCGAATCGATTGGGTAAGAAATATGAATTCGTTAAAATATGGTTATTTCAGTCCATGATACCGTATGATGCTTGAGAATTTCGAATACCTCTACTATGCTATGTTTTGTGTATGTATATGTATTCGATGCTTATGTGATCTAATGCGTGTGATTCAATTGTATACAACTATTTTCATTTTCTACAATATCATCTAGAATGTTATAAAAACTACTTTTTGTGGTATCTAATTGCCATATGCGTGTACTGGAGGATTGATCACTCATCCATGAAGTATAGGATCAATGCTTGATTGCTAGATCATCAATTCTATAGACCTTATGTTATGGCTCAAGAGTAGGGCTGGAAGTTTGGTACCGGTATTTGGGATATACCGAATACCGTACCGAATTTGTCTATATTTGGTATTACCGAATACACGTATTATTTTGTGGGATTGGGATTGGGATTGAATTTCAATTGTTATTCGGTGTTAGGGATTACGGGATTGGGAACGGTATATACCGAAATACCGATCAATACCGAAATATAAGCTAGTGTGTATTTTATCCTCTCAACTAAACTCTCTCATTCACTACTACGCGACCATCAACCACCAAAAGTGTCATTTAATTATACATAGATCATTACATCACTATTTCACACTATTATTAGTCGTCTCTCAACCTCAAATTCACAAAATTAAAGATTACCAATTACAAGAACTTGAGATGTTAGCTCTAGGCAACTCAAGACTATTTGCTTAGTCTCTTCGCTCTAAATTAAACAATAAAATCTAATTTATATATTTAATTTTAATTGCAAAGGTAATTAATTATGTATTCGATAATACCGATTGGGATACCGAAATTATTTAGGGATTGGGATTGGGATACCGAAATTATTTAGGGATTGGGATTGGGATTGATTTTAGATTGTAATTCGGTATTCGGGATTTCGGTATTTGGTATTGGGATACCGATACCGTACCGATTTCCACCCCTACTCAAGAGGCCTACACTTAACTAAGTGTTATCCTTACTTCTCTGTTATTAATTGATTAGTTGATGGCATGAAGCGAGAGCACACATTAGCTAATTAGTGCTTCTCTTGCATATGGTGAAAGCTTGGTTAGGAATGCTGTAGCAGAAGGGATAAAATGATACAATAGATGATGCATTGATGCATGATATGAATGAGAATTGAAATGTATGTTTATTTCAAGTAAACTTCCTATTCAATTACATATCTTTACTTTTGTGATTTGATTTACTTTCTTAGTAGATAACACGAAAATCACCTAAAAAAATCTATCTTTTATTGCTTTTTGTCGAGCATGAGTAGTTGGGCGTGAGTAGTTCTGCATTAGAAGACCTTGTGGAATACGACCCTAGTTTATATAGGATTTTATTACTTGCTTTACTACACATCATGTTTTTGGCATTTCGAGGGATTTCTAATCATATATCAAAGCATCTAACCATCTTATGTCTCTTTATTAGTTTTAGTTTTAATTTATTTTGCAGGTTGTCGTATGAGTCCAGTCCTTACTAGAAGAGAAAAGTAAAAAATAAAAAGATTGTGGAGGAGATAATCAAAGAAGGAGGAGCATCTAGTTAACCCTTGTTGATCTCAAAGGAAGGATAATCTAGCTCAGAAGAGGAGGATATTTCGAGCCCTATCCATCAAGAGTTCAACTCTAGTTGGAAGGAGAATATTGACGAAAACTGCAGCTTCAATCTAGGAGAAGAAACGTCTTGCATATTCCCTTCTACATCATCAAGGATGGTAGAAGAGCAAAGAGTAGTCATCTTAACTACTCTGTATGAGTATTCGAGACCCAAAGCCTCGAATATCACATCAAGCATTGTTGCACTACCAGCAAACATCGAGATTCGTACTCAATTGATCCAAATGGTGCAACAATCCGAGAGATTTGTATGAAGGAATGTTGATGATATAGTGCAATATTTAAAGATCTTTTTGGATATTGTCAATTACCTTCCAGGAAATGAAGGTACTAGAGATACAATCCGACTACAACCTTTTCCTTTCTCACTCATAGGAAAGGCAAAGCAGTGGTTAGATTACCATCAACCATACACCTTCACCACATGGGAGACCCTAGCACAAGCTTTCATTAAAGAATTTTACTAGGAAGACATAGGAGCTAGAAGATGAAATCACACACTTCCAGCAGAAGGAAGGAAAAACATGCTATAAAGCTTGTTGGAGATTTAAAGAGCATCTCAATGCATGCCTCCAGCACAGATTTACACCAGATCAAGTTGCTAAGTATTTCCCAAAATTATTAGATGGAGATACCATAATGATGGTAAATTAATATGCCCATGGTGATTTCACTATAATGATGGGAGCTCAATGCAAAGAGATTTTTGCCACACTAGCAGTGAAGTCAAAGAACTGGTCCACGCAACCATTAATGAAGCCATTGAAAGCTGCCCAAGGAAATGAGGAAGTTGATGCCCTCTTGTGTCATCAGATGAAGGAACTCACATTAACTAAAAAAGCATCAATAGAACCAGAGAAGGAACCAGTGACAACCATGTTCGTGTGAAGCTTGAGGACTTGATACGAGCACGGATCCGATACTCGTAGTTATCAAAGTAACGCAGCTTCAAGAACAAACAAGAAAATAGATTTTTAGGATTTTTGTTTGTTTGAGATAGGATGGAAATTGAAAGTGCAATCTCAACACAAGATTGGAGAAGACTTTAACAATATAAAAGATAGAATCTCGACCTGATAACATTGTATTTGTACATGTTTTTACCCCTCATTCCTTGATTGTTTAGCTTGGTTTTTATCATACGTTGGCTTATTTTAAGCTATTTTGTGTTCCTTTGTCACATTTCATGTCCTGGCACGTAAAGTGAAGCATACGCGCAAGTTTCAAGTCAATCGGAGATCATTTGGCAATTCGGGAGAAGAAACTCGAGCATGACCCGAGGAGAATGAATTTCTACCTCATACTATGGAAAAATAATCATGGAAACTTGTCATGAAAAGAAAGAGGACGAGACTACAAGCGTATGAGATAAACGGCGACTGATTCGGAGTCCGAATGAGGGAGAAACGAAGCATTAAACAGGAGTGGAGGAAGAAATACGGGCAGGAGAAATATGATCGTATTTTCCCTCCCGTACCCGTATTTTTAGTACCAATAAGAAACACGGGCAGAGCTAAAATACGGGCTGCGAAACGCGATGGTGTTTCTGCTCCCTACTCGGGTATTAAGTCTGTTTTCTGCGATTCTTGAGAGGGAGAGATGGGTTTTTGTTCCCAAACACCCAAGGGACGAAACCTAGAGGGAGAGCGACTTGGGAACATTCTATGAGCTATTTTGGAGGATTTCTTCGCCATTGGAGCTCGGGAATCAAGCTTGGAGATGGAGATTGAAGATCTAGATCAGATTTCTGCATTCTCTCTCTTCTTTATGGAGTAACTTCCCTTCACTTAGGTTTTGAGGAATTCTAGTTCCATGTGTTATGATCTTGGTTGTTTGAATCTTTGGATGCTATATTGTTTGATTATAATCAATTGAGGCATGTTTTGTTGAGTCAATTGGATCTTGATGACATTCTATTGATTTCTATTTCAACCTATGATACATAGAATCTGATTAGGTTGATAGAGCTTCTTCAATTGATAGGCGTGAATTGATTGTACGAGAGCCAGTCAATTCACTGTTTTGTACCTGAATTCGTTCCAAGTAGTGGAGATCTATGTGAATTGCCTTAACATTCTATCCCGGTGAAGGCTAGTCGCCTGTCGGGTATTCAGTCTAAGAGGGCTTGGTCAGCTTAAGAGTTTCCAAGCTATTTTCAGATCTTCCGCAGTTTAATCAACAGTAAAGCAACCAAAAGAATTTATAACTTGGACCTAATTGAGGAGCTAGGGGGAATCATACCCGAGTGAGTTCCCAACCTGTAATTAGTAGTTTAGCCTCAGTTTAGTTAGTAGAGTAGTTTAGTAAATCAATCATTAATCTGGTTTGCTAGATAATGAATTGAAGGTGAGTAATAGTAACTCTAGAGACCCGTGGATTCGATATTATTACTAGTGCCACTATACTGCAGTCCCTTTCATTGGTAACACTTGGCCATTGTTAGGAGTTGTGTCATAGCGAGTCAAGACCACAATCAAAGGAAAAACTTGATTGATACAGAAATATTTCTCAAGTCTAAATCTCAAAGAACCAAGAAAATTCAACATTCTTCAAAAACTAACTCAAAATTCGTTTCTTAAGCCCTTTATATAGTCCAGGGCAAATAAAATAACCAAAAATCCGAAAAGAAACAAAATCCTAATA